TCAGGAATTGAAGAGGAAGCAAGGTTATAAACGAGAGGGTTGGGAGTTCTGAGTTTCTGAAGTTCTTTATGGAACGAAAGGTATCTGGATTGGGCCAGATCTGAAGTACAAGAAATATCAAGATCATTATGGATGGTTTTATTTGCAATAAAGTAGGGAGCACTTTACGAAGGATTTTGGATTCTAAGCATTGGATACCTCTAATAGGCCTTATTATAGTCATGTATATGATTCTTTTGTAATTAACTGAAAGTTTAGAGCGTTTGTCTAGTAAGTACTGAAGTAATCGAAAACGTCAAGCGGTTACTTGTCGTTTCAGTCTGATATAAGGATTCCAAGTTAGACGTTTGATAGGACGAAATAAACCTTATTTCTTTTTATATAAAGGAGATTTTCCGTTTATTTTTTATTGCATGCTTGAGACAAGGATGTAATGTTCCAAATAACGTTTTTAGTTCCTTTTTTTCACAAGCGAATCCAGGATTTAATTTTGGGAGGGGGCTTCAGTCCGAAAGATTTTTTTTTCTCATATATATAATGATAATTACTATGGGAAAAAAAAGAAAGATACTAACTACCTATATGAAATGGTGTTTAAGTGATTTTTGAAGTCCTATTAAATGTAATTACACGAAGAATAATACTTTAATAGATAATTTTTTAATATTTTTTACCATAAACATGGTTACATTTTACCATTTTGGGGGCTTCAGCGCGAAAGTCCCTCCCCTATCCCCACTTCTCCCCCCCCCCCTCCGTAGATCTTCCTGTGCTTTTTATCAATATATCTGAGACCAAGATTAACGGGGAAAGTTCAAAATCGCACATTCTAATTAAATTGTAGTTACAGGCTTTTGCAATGAGACTGTCTATACATGATTTAGATTAAACCTATTGTAAATATATTATTTGGTATTAATTCATTTCAACTATCTGTGAACTCTGATGATCTCTCGTTTATATTTATATATTTTTTAAACAAATTGCTACTGTTAGCGCAAAGGGTCGTATGTAATAATTTTACATGTTTATTCTATTTGTGCTAAAGGTGACATTTTGTAGCCTGCAACTGCAATTGGTCTGATACTATGCAAAATAGCAGAGGGAAAAAAGTAAGAAATTATACTAATGAATCATAAAAAAAATGTGCTCTTCTGTAAAAAAAAAAAATAATTTTTACGTTCCAATTTTGCACTAACAGTAGCGAAAGTGTTAATAAAAACACACCTATCTAGAACTTTATTTTATTTTCGAATTATTCGTCTTTCGTACTAATATTATATGAAAAATGATTCCTGAAATTTATATTGAATTGGATTCAGTAGTTCTGAAAAAATAATTATATCACCAAAGCTAGTTGTTAAAAAAACATTGTTTTAGTTTATTTTTAAATGGGGAAACATATGAAACAGTTCATTAAAGAATGTTCTAAGTTCTAGTTAACTAAAAACTATCAAATATATAATAAGTAATCTATATTCCAAAAATACAAAAGCAACTTAAAACCAATTTTTATTTAGCCGAGTCATCTTTAGATAAACGAATTTTCTGCTGTGAAAAATATTTCTAAAAAGTCTGCCTTCCTCTCATCTCTGAAAACTACTAACAATAAGTAAGGCTTAAGTTAATTAAAATGTATTTATCAATTCAGGGAAACGCAAAGGAACCTGGGAGGAGATCCCTAATACATCTAGCTATCCCTAATACGATGACTACTTATATAGGAAAGATAATGGGAATTCTAAGTCCTTACTTGGCTCCAGAATCTCTTGCACTAACAGAAGCTCAGGTTGGCCACGATTCAGCGGAGAGTCCTGCTGCGAGTCGCTACTTCTGAGTATCTACTACCATTAAGTGATTGGTGATTCTATTTCTAGAGGTGTTTCAGGCATTAGCAGATCTTGACCTCTTCCATCAGAGACACTTTCCGGTCTAAAAGATACGGTTCCCGGAAAATATGAGAATAGCCCAGGGTCCAAGGAAACAGAAAAATTTAACTCCAGATGACTACACTGAAGGAAGGGACCGGAGATGGTTCACAATCATGAAAGGGGTTGAGAAAAACTTACCCATCTCCTGCATTCGCTTGAAATCAACATGGATTCTCTCACAAAATAGGGCTTACTGCCTTTCGAGCCAAACTTCGTGACTTTCGTAAAAACATCGACTCCATGTGTCCCAGTCGCGTGGTCCCGGAGCACCAGGGATGTCCAGAAGGGGGTTTCATGGCGCAAACTGCTATCAAAATTTTTGAGGAGAGCACATTTTGACGGGGCTTTGAATCCTTGAAGGGTTTGATTTCGACGGGGACAGAGGTGCCCAGAAGAGGGTTTTTATGGAGCAACTTGCGCCATCAACAGGTTTGAGAAGAACATATTTTCATGGGTTTTTTTTTTTTTGAATTTTCGGAATAAAACGTATCAGAATAAGGAGTAAGGCGAAAACATGGAGCTGACAGTAGCAAGTGTGATTGTGTATGATAATGGATATCTTGGGAGAGGAATGGGTAGGTTGTTGCACCATCGAGCTTGGGGGGATGGGTACCTCCGGACTGGGGTATAAATTTTCGAAATGAAAAGTTTCAAATCAAAAGACAAGTAGAAGCGTGGAACAAACTGCAAGAATATTTAAATCGGTGGGCGGGGTAGCCGAATGGGCTAAAGCGTGTGCACTGCACCGCCGTTGCCTGGCAACCTGACATATGAATACAAAGATATAAAAAATAGTCACGAGTTCGCGTCCCGGTGCCGAGGGAGTCTTTTAAATCCCCGCCCACACTCCCTGGCCCGGGAAAATCCCGTATAGCCTTAACGGCGAGGAAGGGAAGGACCCAAAAAAAAAAAAAAAAAAAAGAATATTTAAATTCTATTTTTGTGTATACTGTTTTTAAGTAAAGGAGAGCAATAAAATATCTTGGGGTGGTGAGGGAAGGTTTATGCTCCATCAACAAGGGGGGATGATGGGCACCTCTGTGATCACATCAACTAAATTGTTTTATATTAAGTAATATTTGCATTTTATCTCATTCAATATGTTTCTTATATTGAATTATATTTATATTGAACTATATTTAGTTGCTTTATTAATAGTCTAAAATAAATTATTCCCATACGCTTTGTAACATTTTTCTTATTTCTAATAAGTGCCGACCTCTTCCAGGTCGGCGCCCCGAGGCAATTGCCAGGCCCTATGGCTGAGGAGGATTTGTTTCTCGAAAATAGCTGGACAAAAGAGGTGCAGGATGAGGACAATAGTTAAAACTATGTCCTGTATTATTACGAAAATCTTTTCATGATAATTGGTAACATACATATATATTTAAAGGTTCGCGAATAATGACTGCTGACATCTAGGTTCATGGGTGTCCATCCCCGCCAAGGTCAATGGAGCAAGAACCTATGTCTACCCCCCTCCTCCATTCCCAAGGTATTTTACTGCTCACTTTTCTTAAAAACATAACAGGCGAAGGTAGAATTTAAAAAATCGTAGATCACATACTATTACACTCGCTGCGGTTTGTTCCATGTTTTTCTCTTACCCCTTAATATGAAACTTTTCTTTCCGAAAATTCATAACCCCATCAAAAATTCAAAATCCTGCCAAAACATGACCCCCTCAAAATTTTTTTCAAAACAAACCCCCTTTTGGGCACCCTTGCCTCGGTTACAGAAAAGCAAGGATGGAGAAAATTTAACATTAAATAATTCTAGAAAATTTTTATTTTGGAATAGGAGTAAACAATCGATTTTTTTTATTTTCAATATTTCATACAAAAAGATTTATATTTATTATTGAAAGTGAAATAGAGTTTATTTTAGTTACCCAATTTTGGCTATGCTGCTGATTTAGTACAATTAGAAGACATTATTTTTGAAAAAATAATTTGTACCTTGAAAAAAATAAAGAAAAAATCTGATAAATTAGAAAAACTACTTCTGAAACATCTAAGCTCTTTAAAAAACATAAAAATTGTATGGAACTTAACTGGAAAAATTGTAATGGTTATGTGCAAGTTAGGGGCATGGTGAGAAATCAAGGGCCTAAGGAGAATTTTGTAAAAAATTAAATTTACCACAAAAATCCAACCTCATACTTCATAATGTAAGCAAATAAAATATAATTTAAAGATATTACATAATAATAAATGTAATATTATCAATTATGTATTTTGATAAAACCTTGAACTAAGAAATAAAATCTTGTAGACCAGATTGGGATCCAAGAGCCCCACAGCTTTCAACATCTCCTCTTTAAACAATTACTCCTTTCTCAATCGGACTGATTACGAAATATACCTAAGAGAACTATCTAAGTATCCCTATCTAGTATAACTATCTAACCATCTAAGTACCCCCCGAGACTATTTATGTTATTTTAGTTTCCTTTGTTTGTCTTATAAATATGAGCATTTTTATTCTTTTTCTCTCTCTTCTTCTGTATTTTTACTTCTAATTAACTATTATTGTAAATATTTAATTCATTTATGACCGTAGAGACATTCATTCTGTACTTATAATTTGTTCTAAAGGGACAACAGTCCCAGAATAATAAAATATATTTGCATTTCGTTTCACAGCTGACCTCCCCCTCTCATTGTGCCTGATGACGGCAAATGCAACCTATTATGATGTCTGAACTAACTTATAATTTTTTTACTTCCAACTAGAGATTCTGTAGAAAATGATGTTTCCATAAGTACTTTTGTACGTTGATCTTTTAGTAATGAAACTCAATCAGTTTCCAACATGCCATATTACTTAAACAGTTGTAAATTTTTGAAAAAAATTTAAACTATTTTATGACTAAAAATCGCATTTATATCAATAAAAAAAAATTAAAAATTATATTGATTTAATTTTATTTTGTTGTTTCTTTTAATAACTGGTGTTATCATCCCTGAAATTTTATAATAACCATTATTCTCACTCATTTATGAACAACAGTGTAATAAATATTTTTGAATTATAGATTTATAATATGGATATGGTTTTCTGTTACAGTCCTGTGCAGGTACTTTCAGCCCCGCCACTATCAATCTTGTTCAAAAAAGTTGGTCAACTGTGAAAGAGAAGGCCGGGGACGATGGAGATCGGATAGTCTCAATGCTTGTTTTCAAGAAGTGGGTATTAAACACAAACTAGAACTAAGTTTTGAAAATTTAGAATAAAATATTTAGTTTTAATATATACAAATTAATTTTTTTCATACATAAAAAAGGCAGATCAAAAACAGCTTTTTAATTCAGTAATTGAAATCAAGGCATCAGAAGTAAATTACATTAAAATAATGTATAAGTCTAGTTTAGTTGTTTTAAACAATTTATTTTTAACATAAATATTTTTTTTTAATTTATGAACTAATGAACTTGCCAAGTATTTTAATACACTTGAAACAATTTATAAATATTCAAGATTGTAACTGTACATTTAGCATTTGCTGAAGAATAATAGTGGGTTCATTTTTAAGATAAAAAGAAATTAGAAAACATTATTGTAACAATAGTTAGAAAGGATAAATATAAGTAAAGTGATGAATAAAAATCTAATAAAATTGTGTACCAAAGCTTGAGTTGAGGAAAAAAATTATTATAGAAAAAAAGGACATTAATTTTTTTATTAAATAATTTTTAAGTTTTTACCAGCTGACAGTATAGGATATAATTTAATTCCTGTAGAAAAAATCCGATACCTTGGACTCCAGCTGGACAAACGTCACACTTGGAATCCTCATACAAGACTGAAACGACAAGAACTGCTCGACGTTTCCGCTTACTCCAACACTTACTGGACAAACGCTCTAAACCTCCCATTAATTACAAACGACTCATATACATGACTATAATAAGACCTATTTGGACTTATGGAGTTGAACTATGAGGCTCCACTAAACCATCAAATTCCTTTCGTATCCATTCTTTACAATCTAAAATCCTTCGTAAAATCCTCAATGCTCCTTATTTTGTCACAAATAAAATAATCCATAAAGAGCTCAATGTTCCATATGTTTCCGATTTGGCCGAATCCAGATACCTATCCTTCCATAATAAACTTCATAACCATCCCAACCCTCTTGTTTCTAACCTTGCTTCCTATTCAATTCCTGATAACCCTCTGAGGCGTCTGAAAAGGAGATGGCCACGTGATCTCCTAATATAGACAAATTATTAGAGTACTACCAATGGGTAGTTTCTCAACATGTGTTTCATGTCATTATATCCATGTGCGAATTTACTAGATGTATTTTTTGTATACAGTTGTAAATATCATATAAATAAATAAATAAAAAATGGTTTAATTTCTGGTACATGTTTATTTGTAATTTATTCTAAGTTTTCTCTTATTAATTACTTTGATGTAAGTAAAACAGTATGTATTCTATAATATATATGCTTGATATATTTTAGCTTCTTTGATGACTATCCATCGACCATCAGATACTTCAAGCGGTTTGGAAATGACCCCGAAACAATTATGAAACATGAAACATTTATAGAACATGCGAAAAAAAATGTTTTTAATTCATTAGATAAGACCATTGGAGTTTTGGAGGAACCTGAGGAAATTAAAGAAATAGAAGAATGGATGGGAAAAATACACCGGCCTAAAAGGATCCCAAGAGAAGATTTTATGGTGAGTACACAACTTGTTTAGTGCTAGAATGAGATATCCTTAAAAATTTATAGGAACAAGAAACCAATAATAAGTTCTCAGTTTGTTTTTATTTCACTGAAATAATTAAGATGGTGGAAATGAAAATAGCTTAAGGCCAGTTGAAACAGTTCTTATATATTGACTGCTTTATTTAAAACACTGTAAAATACTGATGACATAAACTGAGATTTTGACTGTTTTAATAGTTACTGGTAAATTATGACATAAAGGTATCCAGAAAGTCATTTATTTTATTTTTTTTTATTTATGAGAAACACCGACGTTATTCCCTCACATGCTAGCACATATTCCCAATGAATTTTAGATTATCGATAAAGAGTTGATAAAGAGGTTGGACTTCTTTAGCAATCAAAAAAATTTGAATAGCAAATGTTTTGTTGAGCTTTACTAATGCCTTCCATAATAATACATTTAAATATCAGTATTTTAAGTCAATATTTTAATTTTGACTATTTTAATTTTCAGAATTTGGGAAAATGCATTGTTAAGTCTCTCAAACAAGCCTTGGGAGATGAATGCACAAAAGAAGATGAAGAAGCTTGGAAAACCGTCATTGATGGCTTGATGTCTGCTTTTGCTGAGATCAGTTCAAAATAAATTGCAAACAAGACATTGAACTGCGCATGTGTACTTCAATTTAGGCTATTAACTAAATACCAAAGAATATAATATACTATTATCATAAATATATAATAATATGTATACAAACTAATGATGTTTAGTGATAATTATTAATTGACACTTAACATTTAAAGTGAATTTCATTATTAAATTTGAAATTTCATACTCTCTGAAATATTATGTTTTTAAAAGTTTGTACATAAAATATGTTTCATGCATGTTTTACTTTGTTATGCTACCCCTATTGTTTAATAAAATAAAAAGTTGAAAAAGAACAATATGATTCTTAAAATCACATGGTAGAATTGTTACAATGTTTAATATTGACAGCAGAAATAAAAACCAAAAATTTTACTTAAAACATTCCATCATGGTCTTAAGCATGGAATAGAAATCAAACATAAAACTAAAATTCATTTAATAAAAATTATGCAGATTTTTTTCATCTACTGAATGCTATGAGTTTTCACATATAGGTCAGGGGAAAGATGACAAATTCAGTATTTCTCACAATCACAGATAGCAGTACATCATACTCAACATTAGATTTGTGTATTGGTGGACAATGAAATTCACTAGTATAAACAAGTCTGTATCCATATTGAGTAAAGTTGTGACCAAATGTTCAGATATATCATAATTTGAAGTAATTTTCAAATCTCATAACGCAAGGAATTAGTAGGCTAAGGCAGGTTTTTTCAATATTCTTACTAAAATATTCTGAATGTACAACTTTATACCACAAACACATAGGAGAAACATTTACTTTACAATAGTTGTGGTTACTGATAAATGTTAGGATGACTGGTGTGAAGTGGAAAGATGACGAATTCTGCATCTTTTGTTCGGAGGAAGACAAGAATGAGCTGTGCTGCAGGTATTTCAAGTGGGCTCATTCTGAGTGTTTTGGATGGGATCAGAGAGCTACCAGTCACAAAGTCTATAAATGCGACATCTGCATTTAAATAATTTTTTCTTGTTGTATAATTTAATAACAATTTATGGCGTCTTTCACAGTTCTATATTTTTTTATTAAGTGATATGTTAATAAAGTTTGATAGAAGCTCTCGATAAAGTACTTTATTATGATACTTTAAAATCTCTACTCTGAAGCTGGGCTAAGATGACAAAATGACAATTCTTGGGAAAACTTATGTTTCATCCCTTTGAATTGGAGAGGCAATTAAAACTTTTCATGGTAATAGGTAAAGATATTGAAGGAAATCTCATAAAAATTTCAGTTCTTAAATTTATTCCCATTGGCCAGGAAAAATTGTAAAAGCATGACTTCATCTTATCCCACCTTCCCTTGTAGCCTTTTGCAAGTTGCAACCTGGCTATAAAAATTAACAGAAGTGGTCACTTTTCAGATTGAATTCATGATAAATTAAAAGTGTGAACAAAATTATGAAGAAAAAAAAAAAGATTCTGATAATCCTCCTTGAAGATCAATCCTGCCAGCCATGCACCAACACACCTTCTTTTTACTGGGTGATAAAAATAAAATGGCTAAAATAGGAAATGAATATTTGTTTCCCGTTTTTAAGAAATGATGAAGGAATTAAATATTTTCAGATATTGATGAAACTGAACTTATAACAAAAAAAACATTATAACACAAAATATTAATTTAGAAATTGTCATTATAGTCAAAATTTGTATGAAATGACAAATTCAAGATTTTTTTTGATTTTTTCATTATCACATTCAATATGTTTTCTATAAAATATTATAAATAACAAGCAACAAGCATTTCACATCAAGGGTTCAAAAAATATTAGTAGGTTAGTAGCCTATTGATGACCTTTTACTATATAAGAAATGATGTTCATTAAAAACATAAAATGGTTCTGCCAAATCTTTCTCTAGGCGAATCTACAGCAACTGATAACTCTTGGCAGCTGTTTGTGATCTTCTTTTTTCCTTAAACCTTTATTTGGTGCTACTATGTTATTGGTTAGCTTAAATTAAATTTATACAATAAACAGCTATAATTCATATTCTTGGAAAACAGTAAAACATCACTATGTCTAAGTATAAGTATTAGATAACAATGGACTATTTGTCACTATCACTTTTACTGTTTTTATTTACTATTTCTTTTCAAAAATTAATATTTAAGAAGATAATAGTCACTAATTGGTGAGTTACTTCACAGAGGCAGAGAATATTAGTCATTTGATGTGTTCAGGATTATACAAGACAAAAAATGACTTTAAGAGTTTATCATTGCAGGAATAATAAATAGGTAGAACACAATGACCCATAACATCTTAAATTTTCTAACAACTGGATAGAAACATATCCTTTTACAGTAATCCTAATTGGTAGAAATAGCCAATAACATTTTAATGAAAGGAAAACTCAAGTAAAGTGATTTAGTAAACATAAAAAAGCAGAATTTGATTGACCCATCATTATAGAGTATTCAGCTACTGGTCCTTCAGGTCAGAAGAACAGTACACTAACATATCTATTCTATTAACAGGACAATACACAATCTTCACATTACAGACAGAGATCACTCAGAATACACTGTTAGTTTTAGCTACTATAGTTAACCACTCCAGATGAAGCGGCACTTCAGGACAATCTCAGTAGACAGCCATTGCACCTGACTTGAGAACATATGCTGAAAATCCATCACAGCAAATACCCTTTTACAAAAGCTCAGCATGGATCAACTGCATAGGTTTTTAAAAGTAGATATGGTAGTTTCCATAATTAGCACATTCAGATAAACGAACTCTTCATCTATATATGTTACTATATAAGGTGAATTATTATTAAGATAAATGAAGATGTTAACGTTTCAGTGGCACTGGAAGGTAAAAAAAAACTTAATTATTTAATTAAGGGTACACACTTTATGGAGGCTGGGTGTTTCCCAGGAGGGTTTCCCGACCCCAGAACCTATCCACTGCCAATGAAACAGAATAAAAGAAGAAAGTATAAAAAAGAAAAAAATGTAAATACAGGAACAATAATGTTTTTAGAAATAATTTGCTTGAAATATGCTTATATTCAGTAGCTATATACTTTAAATTTTAAAAAGAGAACATATTGCGATTGATTAAGTATTTAACTCAGATCACTCACAGAAAGAAAGAAGGACCAATAGAACCCTCCCTCAACTCTCGTGGATCTATTAACTTTTATATGTACTGCATTGGTTTTTATTTAAAATAAATATTATCAATAAATAATTTAACAGCAAAAAACATGTTCTAAACTTTACCTCACATCATATATGCCCACAAGTAATCTTATATTTTGTTGTGCTGTTTCTGCTTCTACTTTACTGTCTTTATCTAGTTTTCTCTTTGCTGCTTTTATGTGATTACAAAATTTTGTAGATTCGACGGCACTTTAAATAACAGATAAATGCTATTTCAATAGCAATAAATGTCAAAATAACAATTTAACATTAAGTATAACTTCTCACTAAAATTCTACAGAGTAGGAATACAGGAATGTTTAATAAAACACAGAGCTGACAATTTTGTTTAATTTGTCAGATTAAAGATTTCAATAGCTTAAAACTTAGATCAACTGGAAACTTAAAAATCTAATTTTATTAAAATAAAATTTACAGCCAAGAGATGGATCTATCGAAAGACCTGGAATATTGATCATAATTTTAAGTACAGCAAACCAAATTATGAAGTTACGTAGCCCGGCAGTGCCAGCCTTAAAATTTGTTTCTAAAGCTTTTTTAGAGTATGTAATGTTGAAATTTTGTTATATTCAACATTTCTATAATACAGTTGCTTTAATGGTAGGCTAAAATTAACTATTTTAATATGTTTTGTAAATTTTTTGTTATTTCATACAAGTGGCAAGCAGCTGGGCAATTGTCAAGGTTGCCTCACCACAGCCACAAAAGCATTGCTACATAAGGCCAGTACTGATAGTTCAATTCAGGAAAGGACCAATATTAAGTTAGGTTTATTTTTAAAATTACAGATGAACTGTTCAATATCAACTAACAATCTTGGAAAAATAAAAGACAAAATTGTTCATTGTGCAATTTGAAATGTTAAATAAGAAAGAGGATACTATGCATTTTATCTTAATCTAATCTGGTACCTGCTGGAAAATATAGTGAATAAAAAATTAAAATATCTCAATTATACCTTCATCTAATTTCATACTTTTAAATCTCACATGTATCTGTTGATCATAAAAAATATAATTAATTTTTATACAGGAGCTAATAGAAAATTACTCAACTGCTAGAAAAGTAATACTTTCCAATTAGCCTTTTCTTGTGAAATGTAGCTCTGAAATAGCCGTATAAGTATAGAACACTTGGGAAGTAGGATAAATGAAGGAATTTACCACTGAATTTGGGTGTTTATGAATAACAATTATCTTTCTTACCTTTTTCTTCTTAGTAGATGAGTGATATGGCATAGCTAAATAAGTTACTTAACATTGCAAAATATTTATTTAACTTCAAATACAGGAGTAACATTATAATTACCACAGCCACAAAAGCATTGCTACATCATTGGGAACAACTAATAAGAGAAACATTGACAATTCGAAGCATAAAATTAATGGAAGGAAATGTTTATGAAATAATCACACAACTTAACCAATTAACTTGAAATATCAGTTACATTGGTTGACCTCTTATTAAAATTATAGGATTACCTAACAGCCTATACAATATATTTCTATGTTTCTTTGTTTACAATACGTTTGTAAAATATTTTGTAGCATAACAAAAAATGCCACTTTTGGGGATGAAATTGACAAAATATGACTGAATATAAAAGAATTTATCAATTAGGAAATTAGTTATAAACTAACGATATATAATTAGAACAAAACTATAGTTTTGGAAAGTAAGCATGGGCAAAATCTCTTAAACAATTAATGATAATCCATTTCAAGATTCAACAAGCAAAAGCCTCATGTCTTAAAAATCAAAGTTTTACAAATACAATCTGACCAGTCAATGACCGATGACTTGTATTAAGACATGGAATTTTTTTTTTTTTAAGCATTTAAAACTGGCAGTTTAATAAAAAAGCTCTTCCAGAAATTCCTTTCTTGTAGATTCCTAGTTTTTATGAATTGAAATGGCAGTAATTTTTTTTTTTTTTATATTCTATTCTAAATTGAGGCCGTTCAATGTAGATTTGGAACATGTAGCCTAAACAGAGGTGTAAAACACTGAATATGCACAAATTAAATATTACTCTCTCAGCTTAAGTGTTAATAAATGAAAGATGTAAATAAATAGGTACTAATATAATTTAATAACCATATGCTAGGAAGTTATGACTTAGTAAAGCAAACAATGTAATAAAAAATATATATAAATTATATATTTTAATTTATAACAACAATCATGTACAAGTTAAAATTGGCTATAAAAATAAGATAACACACATTCTGAATCATAAAAATAAAATTGTGTTTTAAACAATATAAAACAAAACATAAATTAAATATGTTATAAAAAAATCAGACAATAAGCACATTAAGTACAAGAATTATTATTATCACAGCCAAATAATCACTGGTAATTGGTCTAAAATTAAAAAAAAAAACACTTACGTCTAATGAACACAAAATTACACTAAAAGACAAAAGCAAAGTAAAGTTACAAATTTAAGAAAACATAAATAAATAAAAATAAACTTATACCATTCTCACCAGAAACAACCTATTTTTTTTCATTTTACATATAAATTAATTAAGAGCAAATAAATAGATTTTTATGGACATAACCTACATAAAGTAAACTTCCATTAATCTGGCACAAAGTTAAAATAAGTTATATGAATAAATAGAGTTTTTAGCAGGTCTAAAACAATTTTTCACCTTACAAAAGGTAGATAAAAAATTCTTTCTTTTTTTTCTAGTTAGAAAATAATTGTTTTTTTTTTTTTTAATATAATCTGAGTTATTTTCCTGAGACTGATTTTCAAAATCTGTTGTCAACTGTTAGTTCAACGTTAACACTCGCCATGTATTAAGAACAACTGAAGGAATTAAATATTTATGCAGTATTGCAATAAACTTGATTGAAGATGATCTTGTTTTTAAGGCAATCCAATTCAAATTATAAACTTATTATTGAGTTATAAAATGCTAACTATTCAGTATCATAAGAAAAACAATTCTCGATAAAGTATTTCAGTGATTTTTTTTTTAAACAAATACATAGATAAATACATAAAAATTGAAAGTATAAAATAACATGTCATGCTTAATCTACATGATTAACTCCTACAATTTCTATGAATTAAAATTTAACAATACCTCAAAAATACAAAAATTGTAACATAATAGTTTAGCAGGTTATGGCACTGAATCAATAACACATTTCTTCAGATATTTGTTTCTGCTATATACAGATTTATTGAATCAGTAAATGGAACTGCAGTTCTCTTTAAATGTTATTAATGTATTTAAACAAATAATTATTAGACCATTAAGCATGCCAAATCAATGGATGTCACATTTAAGGAAGTTTATTGTAATTTGTCAATATTTCGACATTTTACTCAAAATTCACTATGATTTTTCTCAAAAAAGTATCTGTAAGAAAAAAATTTATTCAAATAAAAAAAATTGGTCCACCCACCACATTACATATGTGCATCCTCAACTACCTTGTTTAACATTTGTTTTTATTTTATTTATTTACTTTCATGTTTCTTATTTCATAATGAATTTTTTATAATGAGTATATTTAAATAATCAAAAGCACCAATGGATTATGGTGGAAAAGTGCAATACATATAACTCCATTTCTTTAACACAATATAACTAATTTCATAAAATTAAGGTTAAAACTTCGATTGGATGTTATAAGAAAATTTTGGAGTTTAAAATATACTGCAAAAATAAACATGTGATTGGTAAATTTTAAAAAAATTTGAACAAGAATGATAACTCATTCATTAACATTTAAGAATTTACAATATTGAATATTTCCTTAAGAAATTATTGGAACTGAAAATTCAGAAATTTAGTTTTCCCAATAATTAAGACTTCCCATTAATTAAATTCAACTTTTTACAGAAAAAAACTTTCAATTTAAATATTAAATTATGCTTTCCGAAAGTAACTACATTAATACAAGCATTCTCATTTTGTTAAGTTCCTCAAGTAATAGGTTATTGAAACCTCTTAATATTAAATAGAAACCTAATTTTTTTTTTTTTATATTTAGAATTACAGCATTTCATATTGCAAAGTGCATGAATAACATGATAAACTCTCTTCGTATGAGATTAGAAGAAAATTACTTATAAATATTTGTTGGTAATCTGATAATACCTCATATCTATACATTTTCTTAAATACTTTTCAGCTATTCAGCAGCCATTTAATTTTAGAGTGAAAGTGAAACAATTTGATAAATTAAAGGAAGGAGATGGTCCGGGGTTGCGGTCATAAAAAGGCTAAATAGTGGTAAAACTATTTAGCCTTTTTATGACCGCAACCCCGGACCATCTCCTTCCTTTATAATGCAACGGTCAACTATTAAATATTCAATTAGATAAATTGTTTGGCTTATCTAAGCCCAGTACATTCCCTCCACTCCTACCCTATAAGTAATCGTAAGCTTTTCATTTTTCTATTTAATATCAATAAAACAATTTAATCCCTTTTTTTTTAAATAAAAAAAATGGCAGCCAAAAACCTGTATTGGTATAGACTGTAGTGCCTAAACGAATGTACCGATTTAAATGAAACTTGGCCAAAATCTTCTCCTAGATACTTTACAAACACACTTTATCAAAAAGTCCTTCCCTTTCAAGATGACGGCCAAAAAATCTGTATTGTATGGTCTGTAGTGCCTGAACGGGTGTACCGATATTAATGAAACTTGGCTGAAGTCTTCTCCTTCGAAATTTATCTTACCTTTAAATTTATCTACATAACATAGTTAAACGAAATGAAGCTGGGAAAAAGTTATGAGTGGTGGTAAAATTAGATTTCCGAATAACTCCTATACTTAGCGAATATTCTACAGCTATGGTATATGTAACTATAATATATTCAAGCCATTCAGAATTCTATTTTGGTTTTACCACTTAACCAAATTATTACATATTTTAGAGTATGTGTAATTTTCTCATTATATCTATAGCCATGTACCGCTTATAACCTACCTACAATAACGAATAATTCCAAAAGCTATGAGATCATCCCAAGAGTGTTTGCAACAAATGAAGAGATCAATTTTGGATCACAAATTCAAAGAAAAAAAAATAAATGACATAAAAAAAAAATTATTTCTACACATAATATTTTAAATTTTCAAGTAAGATGTAAATGTTATCAGATTACCAATAATCACATTATTTATACTAATTTTACAAAATATGTGATAATCTATATTTAATAGATAATTTCACTATTTTAAAAGATGATATGGAGTATAGCACGATTCTACGTCTACTTAAATTTGACTAGCAAAGCCCAACAATAGCCATCTATTTCAGATAACTTAAAATAAATAATGAAAATTATTTGTAAATCGGCTATCTATCGACTATCTTTGAAGTGTCAAAAAAAATATATACTCCATAATTAATATCATCTTTGAGCACTTATATTTAATATAGTGTTTTTATACTAATTTCGTATAAAAAAATAAAATATTTTTCTTACCTCAAAAATAAAACATTGCAATTTGACTAAGATAATTCTATATATAAATATATAATTTTAAATTTACAGTAACTTGTTATATTGTTTTTGTGAATTTTCTAATATACTAAGTTTTAATGCATAATTCTAAATTCTGAAACTAAATTTTAAAATGATTAATAACAAATGAAAAGTAAAATAGGCAAATTATTATTTCCATAAGTTATAAATAAAATGTGGATGGTAAACCTGGTGGAAAGGGCAATAAATTGAAAGAAGTACATAAAATACTTTATATAATAACTAGAGACCGGATTTCCATGTTATTGCACATTTTATTCGCTTGGCTGTAAAAACCCCGGACCAGAATATCTATCCATTTCAGGATCTGTAGAATAACATACTTAAATTTTATATTGCACGACTTTGATTTTTGTTGCATACAATTGCACATTTCTTGAAAAACTGCACTACTCCGACCTTTGAATAAAACTTTAACCCTTTCTCATTGCAGAACTTCCATATTAATTCTCTCATCCAATCCAATTGATAAGTAGTATACTTATCAAATATTTTATGACCCGGACCCATAAAAGATTACAGGAAAAAACACTTTCATTAATGGAGATAGATTTCTGGATGGAACAAAAAAAAAAAAATCTTAGAAGTCAAAGGAAGAAGATTAAGGTGGCAAGGTCACTGAAAACACACGTACACAGATCAAATACCACAACTGATCATAGAATGAAGGCTAAAGATAAAATACTTCATAAGCAATAGAAAAATGAAGTCAATGAAAACATGAACAGGCATGGATTGACAGAAGAGGAAATTGATAAAGGGGAATAGAGAAGAAAGTTCTAAAATGAATCCAGGTAAAGAAAATTTTTAAAAAGGAGGGAGAAATTTCTAGCTTCACATCCACTAAGATATGATCATTATTTAATATGCACAAATCTATTTGGGAATAACTACCATCTTCAATAGTTAAGAATATTGTTGAAGATGCTATCATCTGTAACTCTAATACGACGATACTTAATAATATTGAAAGCATTTGAAAATGGCAGTTATGCCAAAAGTGAAATTGCATAATGGATTATGTTTTAATTCAAGCAATTCAACCTTTTCACATTTCATCAGTTATTAATAGTTAGTCCACAAAGAGGATAACATCCTACTTAAATATGATTCAGTAAATAAAATACAATTACAATATAAAAATACTTTTATGACTTCTAAAGAAACCTCAACTCATCTATAAGATTTAATATAGGTCGGAATGATCCCTTCTTTTTCTGGCAATGTAATAAATAGTATTGCTAAATGTGTTAGCATTCAAAAATCAAAATGAGATTCATAATCTTAATGAAAAATCAGATATTTCACTAACTTTATCATCCATTAATATACAAGTCAATAAATATCCCAGGAGTTTTACTTTTCAAAAATATTGGGAGTATACTGATAACTACATACACAACAGCACAATAGTTCCAAATCCATTTTTTCTAGTTTATGGAAACTCTAAAAAAAAGTTTCAAATGCACATTTTGTTATCAATTACCTATTTTCGTATGGATGTAATTGACTTCTCAGATGTCATTAACCTTCAGAGAAATAACGTTAACATGATGGATTGGAAGCATAACTTAACAAGGAATAAGATGGTATCAAAATGTCAAAATAAAACAAAATGGATTTGAAACTATTGTGTAGCAAGTTATCTATCTAAACATAACAATAATAAATTTTTTCAATATATTAACGTATCAATCACAAGAGTCTCAAACCAAAAATATTTTCATCAGAAAAATATTGTCAAACCAAATGAAAAATAATAATTAAAAGTTCTTTTAACAGGTAGAGTCACAAAAAAATGAATTACTATCTAAAATAAAAATTTAAAGTGTTATTATCTAATGAGAATCAAGATTAACCCTTTTTCCACTAATAATTACAAATTCCCTCTTTAGAAATAATGAAGCAAATTTCAATATACCTCAGCATTTTAAAAGTCTTTAGAAAAAATTGTTTGGTTCAAATTATATAGTTTAAAGCACCTTCTATAAGTGTTAGTGCTAAAAAAAATCTTTTAAAGAAGAATAAACCATTGGACAATACTTTTGGGCAATCACACCATATGGTTGTTTGGAACCAATAGTAACCTTAGTTTTGACACTATGTTTGTTCCACACATGAATGGCATAGCTGTCTTTTATTTGATCCATTACTTTATTATAAACCTCTTCATCAGATGTAAAGTATTTCGCCCACTCTTCCCATGAAATTGGATAGAATGCAGAAGGAGGAAAAACAATAAAATCTTCACAGCCTTTTTCTATCATATGCTTCACCTAGAATAAAATAAAATTCAACTAAATTAATTTTTAATAGACTAGATAAGAAACCCAGCCTTATGAAGAAATGAAAAATATTATTCAGGAAAAATATTACTCAGAACACGAAATATGATGTTTATATTAAAATTTTGATGTTATTTATATAGCAACCTGGAACATAAAGACAGTGGAAAAAGATAAGAGCTCATGGAAGAGGTAATCAAATACAAGATAGACATGCTAGTAATCAGCTAAGTGAGAATGAAATTCAGAGACAAGACAAGACTATGACCACATCCTCATGTTTTTCTTACATTTCAGTAAATATTCCTTTGCTAACTGTTGAAATCCTTTGTCCATAATATTGTTTTATGTAGCCAATATATTTTAATATGAAGGAGGAAAACTCCTCCTGCAAATGCCATTTGACTTTATGCAATAAGAAGTACCTGTTAATGACTTAACGAGAGGTGTGTAAAAGGCTGTAACGCTGCTTGTAGCTGCAGAAAAAATGGTATGAAGTGCCAATAATAAAATTAACAGGTCAATAATGCAACAATTCTGCAGATCCAGAAATTAATCATTTTAAATAATATTTTGTACCATCTTTAATTTTTATTTTTTTCCCTTTCTCAGAAAATACCTATTTATGCTTAAAAAAAAAAAAAAAAAAAAAAAGGGAGGGACAAAAAGGGCACTTAACACCAGATTTTTAACATTAAGGTGTCATGCTGAAGAAAACTCAACTTCAACTCTACAAAACACTTGTGCAATCCTTTCTTATTTACAGATTCGAGACATGAGGAATAACAAAATCTGACAAAACCTCCTCCTATTCACAAAAATGGCATTAGAATAGAAAATATTGAGTGAAAGACAAGACATATGAAAAAGAAATCTGTAATCTGTATAATGACAGACATTATTAAGACAGCTTCACTGGGTTGAAGATTTGTGTAGTTTGAGTAGCCATTATACCCGTAAAGTGTTGAATTGAATGGTTACTTATGTGAGGAGCCTATATATACCCTACACCAGAAACTGGACAGCTATAGCTCAAAACACATGGAAATTTTAAGACAATGATGTATATATATTACAAACAATTTTTTTGAAAGATAAGTTATCATAACAATCCATCTGGTATTCAAGAACAAGCTGTTAAGTTCACTTCGTACATGACCATGCAGTTAGTAAAGTAAGCTGCACAGATTGGGTAATTTTAAGCCATTCTAATTTGAACATAAACAAGTGAAGTAACCAGGAAGATATTTTTTTAGTTATTGGGGTTTAAAAAGCAAAATCTCGGCATCAATAAAGCCTATATAAATTTATACACAGCTGAGAAACCTTATGTAAAAATAATATATTTTTGTGAAAGGACTAAGTGTCCATAGAAAATTTAATTATGACTTTATTGTAGTTTCCTAACCATTCAGAATCTAACCAGTACATCTAAGTATTAGATTGGGGCTCCAAGAAAAATTTGTTAAAATTTTATTAAATGAAATTTTAAATAAAAAACTGTTAACATTCAATGAAACGGTCAGGAAAGTCAATATTGTAAATACCACAGCTGAAGTGGTTTATTAGGGTAAAAATAAATATCAAAATCTTGTAATGGATAACACCTACCAGATTTGAGACCAAAGCCAACAATACACCTCACAGATATAAGAGTCAGTCGTCCATTATTTTTCACAACTGTAATCTCAGTTAACAAAGCCTACAATTTCATCATTTAAAAAAAAAAAATCATTCATTAATTTCCAATTCCATTTTTTTCTTATTAGTAAAGTAGCCTGTTGTTTCAAATGTTTCACAACTGTAAATAATTACAGATATAAAATCATTAGAGTGCTTAATTTCTAATGATTTATTATATTGAAAATAATGATTTTAACTCCTTTTTTAAAGTTAAGGCAATTAAACTAATTTCATTATTTTTAATGAATAAGTATGGTGGATAGTGTATGTATGCTGATTTCTTCCCACTATGCATTGAAGTATCCAATTTTCAATTTTTTTTTTTTTTTTTTTTTTTTTTTTTTTTTTTTTTTTTTTTTTTTTTTTTTTTTTTTTTTTTTTTTTTTTTTTATGAAAAGTCTTGGAGAATGGGTAATGCGTGAGATAATTACAGAAAGGATGATCCCAAATGGCCAGCCAATGTAATGTGAAAGTGCCAAAAGCATTAGAACGTTACTGCTTTTCAACATTTGCTTTCTCCAAAGAACAAAGTAACTTGTGATATTAAGAGTTCAATTTTAAAAGGGTTTCAGTTCAGTACTGAGGTAAAACGATTAAAGTCATCCTGAGTTTCCACATCTGTAAGTGAAATCAAAGATATCCTGAAATTCAAAACTCATTCATTTTTCTACAGCTTTGAAGGATAAATCAACTTTGTTGGTCATTTTACACCAAATGTGTTATTGGAACTGTAGCCCCTTAGCAAACTTGTGAGAAATCAAGTGAAGTAGAAGTGGGACATTGCCATTTGGGATGTTGAAAAATTAAAATACTTCATTAATTTAATCCTTTTTCTATTGTAACCACAAGGCACGATATACCTTACCAAAGTTACCATTAATTTATTATTTAATATAATAAGATTAAACATTGTAAAATGAAGATCAAATCATTTATCTCGAGATAAATGATGAAAAATAAATGGTCATAATATGAGTTCCAAGTAATTCTTCCAAATTCATTTAAGAAATTCCTAGCAACTTCTTAGCATATTCAATATAAGCAAGAAATTTTCAATGTGTTAAAAAATACAACAAAACTGGTATACCTGTAGAAGAACTTTTGCATTAAATATTCTATCTTTTTTTCCTAATACAAGATACTAAGAAATCTAATAATAATCCAAACAATAAGTCATATTAGAGAAACAATTTTATTCATATGAACAATGTAATATCATCCAGAATGTCTACACAACTGATGGAGCCAATTATTTTATCATAACTATATTGAAGTAGTTTAGTTAATGAGTAATTATCTTGCCCCAGATGAAAATATTTTTTCAATTTATTAGTATAGAAATAAGATTTAACTAGTTGTAATATTATACTAACATAGTACTGACTGAGATTTATCGTGTTAGTACAAAAAAGATTGCATTATACTAAGTTCATAGTTTTTTCACTTACAAAAAGTGGAATATAGAAGCCAGACCTGGATAAGAACTATATCGCAAGTGAAGCATGATAAATTTTAATTTTAAAGAAAATTAAAATTGTCAACAAAACGGGTTTATATTTACTTTTAAAAAAGATTCTTTCTATGTTATCTAAAATATCTTCTTTCTTAAGTCCAACATTGAAGCAATCTCAGGGTTGCTCGGCTTTGTTTATATTTTCAATGATTTTTAATTTATCATCCTAGGCTACAATAGCGGTACTTTAAAAATTAAATGGTTGGTGCATTATTATATTGGTCTCTAGATACTGTTTTTTTTTTTTTTCTTCTTGTAATTAGTTTCCTTACTTTGAAATATAATTTTAATTGAGTTCCCACCTTCACAATTATAGTTATTTTAAGTTATTCTGCGCGATAATCTAAAATAGTGCAATTGTTAAATTCCATATGTTAATAACCTAAATGTGAGTTAATAATCTGAAATAGCTCTGTGTGTCATGACATTCACCAGTCAGAAATATGGATAACTGTAACGGTGTTACTTCACTTTGACAAGCCAATATCAAACGAATATACTATAAATGAATTCCGAGAGTAGCTGAGATATGGTGAATTCACAGTATAACCTCTCTTTAATTAGATAGTGATTTACAACTTTTGCGAATCCCTAACAGGTCCTCAGCAGTTAAAATCGATGCCTAAGTTATCATTAATTACATATTTTAACTGCTTTCAGTCCCACTGTGCAAATTCCACTAAACCTTCACCATTGGAAAAAGATCCCTTATCCACAGTATAAACCTAACACCAAGAATGACAGAGTGTGTACGAGAGTAGATGAAAGTGACTGAACCATCTGGTCCAGCCCCCAATCTCTACTGAAAGGCCCCATTTGTGGTTTGTGTACTTCTTCAGAACGAGCGGGAGACGAAAGCAACGATATAATTAAAGCTCCGATTTTAATTGAAAAGGACCCCACTCTTATAATTGTATGAGTTATAAGAGATTTGAATGTACCTCTAAAAATCTCCTTCCCTGTATGTCATAAATGGCTAGATAGGAGGTAATAAAAAAAAACAACTGAAAAGGAACAGTAGGGAATTTGCCGAAGTCATAAATTACAACCTAAATAAAGGAAAGTTATACTGTGAACACTATGTCAATCCTCAGCTTTTCTCCCAACTCCCCTATCCATCCAACAAAAAGTGGTCCACTGGACCAGGTGGAGTGACCTGCAATGTGGTACTCGTCTTTCAACATCTGTTCTCACAAATGGGGTAAGCAAATGCCCAATGGGTGCTTTTCAGTTGAGGTCAGGGACTCGCCAGACAGTTATGTCACCTTCGTCTACTTTCAGACATACTTGGCTATTCTTGGTATTCTATTCATAAAGCATACCAATCTTCAAAGTAGAGCAATACAGTAGTACAGAAAAATAAAATTACATTGGGAAAGTAACCAAAAACAACCTATCCAAAAACATTCAAACTCAGATAGCTTCAGCAGTTCATAAACAGTAAGATGATAATATCTTGTCCCTATCCATCGTGTTAAACCTCGAGTTAAACCTGTGAACTACCGTGTCGAGAGTTTAGAAAATGATTCAAAAATGTTTTCAATGAATTTTAAGTTATAATAAAAATTTAAGGATCTAATTCATTGGAATTCATTCATCATGGAAATCCCTTTTTTCAACACCTTGCTGGTCAAAACCCATCACTTTTAAGAGCCAGAAAATGGTTCTATAAAACTGTTTTATATACTTACTAGAGCGTCTAATCTCGATAATAAAAATATTTACCTTACAATCTCCACAATATTTTCTCAAAGATCTAGTTATCACACCAGGGCCATTCCAACCCCAATCATATCCTCTGAAATTATTTACGAGATCATTCATTGTGAGTGACGATATTTTGTGATTATGGCTGAAAGACATTATGCCAGCAGCCACATCATTCAACGATTCAGCACCAGCAAAATTAGTCACTTGTTCCAATGATCTAAAAGCAATTATTTCATCAAGCCAATGAGGTAATTATTCAAATTTATATTTCTTAGATACTTACCGCATTATCACAACATCTAAATCCATATATATCCCTCCAAACTTCCATAATAGAGTATAGCGAAGAATGTCACTAGCATGGGATTGAGGCCAGTAGCTATATTTCAAATTTCCTGACTGATACCAATGCTCCAGCGGAGTCTTAACAAAAAAGGTAGTCATATTAATGTATCTAATTTTAAAATTAGGGTAGGATGCTAATTTTTGAAAGTAGGCTTTCATTCCTTCCAAACTTGTTACAGGAGATGGAATCAAAAGATATACTTCAAAATTAGGATTCATTTTTGCAGCTGACTCAATAGCACAAGCTTGCCTTGGATTAATACTAAACTCCTCATTATGACAAGAAGTCTCAACAAAAAATATTGAGCGGTTTATGGCTACTTCAGATGACTCTAAGTTTTGAATAACATTTTCAACTTTTAAATCATAACACTTGATTTTTTCAGATTCTTTAGTAACTTTAAGGTTAGTTACCCAACCCATACCTATTTCATCCATACAACTGTCCATCATAAAGTAACACATTATTATGACAAATACAAGAACCAGATACAGTCTTTTATTTCTCAGACGATTAATTTTTGACATTACTGAAAAATACATTACAGTATTGAATTATAATAAATAAAACAAACTGAAAAAATTAACTTTCAACAAAATAGATAATTTTAATATATTTTTTCCTAACTAAATATACACTGAGAGCACCCAACAACTCAAAACAACACCAAGAATTGGTTAATCAGGCAACGTAGAGAACTCATACCTATCCCCACTACTAAAATTCCCGCCAAGGATACTAAATTTAGCAAAATTAATAAGCAATAAAGCAATATCAACTGGCCTTAGATTCATGAAAAAAAAAACTTTTTGAAACCACAAATAGGAAAAATTGAATTATAGATACTAAATTTGTCTTGCAAAAATAATAAGATTTAAAATATTATTGATTATTGGGTGTATTTAAAATATTTCGTGAATAAATAAGAAAGAAATTCATCAAATATTTATGTTATATTAACATAGATCAAATAGCTCGATAAAAAAACATTGAACGAAATAAAAATGTTAATATATTCACACATTAAATCGATTGAAAAATTATATTACGACCTCTACTTCATTTCAATGGCATCACGGGTGATCCTAAATTTAATATTTATTATAAATTGGAGCATATTCTGCAGAAAAAATTACCCTTAAATTTTTTTTCTCCATCCCTACCTCATCTTTTAGGCTATGTGGGGATTTTCCCAAGCCGGAGGAGAGGACAGGAGTTTAGTGTTAGAAGCCCCGCTGGCATTGGGACGCGAACTCCTAATTATTTTATATCTTATAACTTCTGTTTATCAATCATCTAGTTACCGGGCAACTCGTGTTTTGCACACGAGTCAACACGCGTGGCCACCCCGCCTCCCCTATCCCATAAATTTTCAGTTAGTGAATATATCTAATAATATAAGCAAACATTTCTCTTTAAAAGATTATTCTCTTCACCGGACACATTTCTGGAGTCAAATCAAATTTGCAATCATTTTAAGTACTATTAAGGTCTTCCAAATAAAAGATGCTCTCTGAAACGGAATTCTTTTCTTCTTCATCACCCGTTTTCGCCTATATGGGGTTTTTCCGAATGAGAAAAGAAGGCAGGGAACTAACACCAGAGTTAAAAGCCCTCTACGCCGTAATTCGAACTCTTAATCTTACTAAAGAACGCGTGTTTTGCAAACGGGTTAGCTCGCCTCGCTCCTTGCTCTATCTGGACTGTCGACTAGAAAAGTAATTATTGACTAAGGCAATGATGTCACTGAAATATACTCTACCGGTTCGTCAACACCGTTTGTGTCTACCCTTGCTGCTTAATACAACGTAATGTATATAACAACCCTCCAAAATTACTTATAATTATCCAGAAATAAATACCATTAATGAAATTTAAAATCTTGACTGTTTGTCGAAGGATGGCTGACTGATGTGGAAGGATGAACGAAATGAGAAGGCAAATTGGAATTATTCAACCAAGTAGAATATGTCTTGTCTGTCTTCTGTGGCCTGATCAATTCATGATTAAATTAATGAAAGAGTGAGCCAAACATTGGGAGGATTAAACTTGGAATAATCCAGTTTTGTTACTTTTTTGTAAATCTCATCAGCATAAGTATCTGGAAGTGCATAGGTAATTTGTCTTGCAGGAGCAAAGATTGACTGATGTTGGTCGTCTTGATTAGGTCGCTATATTCTGGCAGAAGAACATCTAGGCATTTCTCAACACACACATATATACATATAAATTCCAAGAGATGAAAGTGATAACAATTCATGAAATGTAATAATATGACCTGATTTCCTTACAGCGGAATTGGGACTAACATCTTAACTGTACAGCTATAAAAAGTTCGGTTGGATGATCAAAATTGCTTATTTGAAAAAATGTTTTGAAAAATTGTGCTCCCTCTCGATTTCAACCATCTTGCCATTAATTTTGGCAGGAATAATGAGAGGCGAGGTCGTAATGGCATGTAGTGTTTACTCGACCTTTCCAATGTGATTAGAAAAGGTTTGATTGTACTTCTAGAACAATACCCTCCCCGTATGCTAGAAACGGCAAGAAAGAGGGTTATTCGAAAAAAAATAAAAAATAGAAGGAAGAATGAGAGGTTGCTGTGCACCTTGCTCTTTAACATCGATTATGTTCATAGATTGTTGGAATATTGAAAATATATGAATTATGACCAGAGCACTTAAAAATATGGCATTTGTTGTCGTCAAATATCGGATTCATTTTTAAAACATCTCATTGTAAAAGAAAATGATTACTTTCCAATTAAATCATACTACTTTATTAACCGACAATGGCGAGGCCACAAAGAGTTTGTTTGGATTCATCACTAAAAACGATTTAATGATTTTTTTGTAGCGAACTGCTGGAACGATTTTTAGATCGATGGCTCAAAACATTCGAAAACTTTATAAGAACTTTAAAATGTACATATATGCATTGTGTTTTAAAATATATCATAGCTTGTTTTAAAGCAATTCTAAAGTGTTTTAATCCTGAAAAATAAATCTGTTCAAAAGCTATGTTCTGCAACTTTGATGGCGCAAAGTTAGATGTCTTAAAATCATTTGCATCTCAATTTTTTGCTATTTATCGTATATTTTAAACATTAAATAAGAAGTAAATTGTATTCGGAAGTTTCGAAAACAAATACGGACTACCAGTCCCAATAAATAATTTATTTTCGAATATAAATTTTCAATATTAATAATTTTTCATAAATTGAACAATAAGAAAAATGTATTGAATTTTATTGAAAATAGGGTTTTAAAAAATGGTGGCAAGATATATTGGGACGGCTTCAGCCCAAAAGCCCTCCTCCCGTAGATTCGTCTGTGGTGTATAAAATAAGAATTTTAATGCAATAAAAGTTTTCATTCATATTCATGCTATTTGGTAATTTATTTATATATTTTAGAGACAATATTTAAATTCATAGTTTAAATACAGTCCATTGTGTTTTTTACAATTATAAGTCATTTGGGCATGGATATGATCAATCGAGCGGGTTTTTTCCCCCAATTTTCCAATTTTTCCAGATATTTTACTGACCTTAAATTTTTATTTCTGGATATTAATACGGCACGAATCCATAAATGTTCGATTGGATGGAATTTAAATCTGATCTCTGAAGAAGAATATCATGTTCATTTGTAACATTGGTGCCTATTCCCAAGGTCAATGGCGCATGATCCTCCCAAGATATTTTATTTCTCTCTTCTTTTTAATAATGGCGCAATCTAATATAGAATTTTAAAAAGCAAAGATCATAAACAATTACACTTTCAGTGCTCTGTTCTGTGCTCTCCTCTTGTTTGGTTTTAATTTTTCTTTTCGAAAATTCATAAACCCGTAGAAATGATCCTCTCTAAAAAAATCGAAACCCCGTTAAAATGTGTCCCCCTCAAAAATGTTGATGGCGCAACTTCCTCATTGAAACCCCCTTCTGCTGTGAAATAATATAGCAGCCAATCCCTTGAGTGGAGAGCTTTGGACAAAGGGTTACTTTACTTGTACAATTTGATTTTTCTATACCTATTTTAGCCATTAAATTTCCTTTTCATTTGTTTTTAATTTATACTTCTTGATCATTCCATCGATAAAAACCAAATTGTATTAGTGAAAGCTGGGCTGCCAGATCCAAACGTGAATTTGTCATATTTATGAATTAAGTAAAATAATTAAACAATTATTCTTGTCTCCAAATGTTAATGTTTCGAGTTAATAAAAGAAATATCACTTAAAGAACAGATTAGCTAACTAAATTATTGATAATAAAACTAAGAGAGTGTTTTATGTAACGTATATACAGCCACGATGTAACATCCTATAGAAGCAAAAGCTAAAAATATTCTGAAGATCTTTATGAACTAAATTTTCTACAAATATAGCAAAGGTTTATGTTTTAAAAAAAATAATTTGTTTTTCTACATTTGCACGATGGCGATATTGACATGAAAATCGCAAAAGCGCACTTTCTGATAAAACTGTGCTTTGTAACATTACATGACATATTTTTGCTTAATTTTCCTGCTTTTTAATGATTTTCTTTTTCTTCCTTCGTTGCAGAATAGTAAGCAACGTATCAGTTGTGATGCACTCTGGTCTATTCATTTCTTAAAACCATGGATTACAGTGATGGAAAAAAGTATTTGCACAACACGTTTTTATGAATGAAGTAGTTCAAGGAAACAAAAAACTTCGCTTTCCTTTGCAAAAATAAAAAGTAAATTTATTAAAAACTAAAAAAAACTTTTTACAAAAAAATAAAAACACTTCATAATCAAATAAAATAATTAAAACAATAAAAGTGCTTGGAAAAAAGTATTTGCACACTTCCACATTTACAAGTTTATTTTAAATTTTAATAGTTTTAATATTTTGTAAATAGGCCATTTGCGTCAATAATTGCTTGTAGACGTCTGGGCATTGAATGCCCTAGGTTTTTAATTAAATATACGTTTATTTGTTCCCATTCTTGAACAAGAAGTTGTTTAAGGTGATGTCCACTAGTGATATGGTGTTTTCTTACATTTTGCCATAAATTTTCAATGATATTTATGTCTGGTGACTGAAGAGGAGTGTGGAGCTGTCTTGGAACATTAAATATTAACCACTCCTTTGTTCTCCTCGCAGTATTTTTGGATCGTTGCCCTTCTGGAAATAGTACTGATCCTGGATTCCCATTTTTTCGGCACTAACACGCAAATTACGTCGCAAAATGTTCACATAGCCTTCCGCATTTAAAATGCCTTCGATGCTCACAAGATTTCCCACGCCATGTTAGGAAACACACCCCTAAACCATAACATGTCCTCCACCATGCTTTACAGTTGTTAAAACATTTTGCTTCTTTAGGGCTTCATTACAATGTCGCCATATCGTCCTTCGACCATCTGAACTAAACAAATTAAATTTGCTTTCGTCAGAAAATATGACATTTTCCCAAAAGCTTAAGGGTTTCTGTACGTACTCCCTAGCAAAAGCAAGGCACTTTATTGTTTCACTGATATATGGCTTCTTTCTTGGAACTCTACCATGGAGACCTTCCGAATTCAGGGCATATCTAATTGTTCTACTAGCAATCTGAACTCCAGACGTTGGACGTTAGAAGATTTTTAAGAGCTTCTTATCTCATTTTCCTCTTCAGCCTGGGAGTTAACTTTTTTGGACGCCATTTACGCTCACTGTTTTCAGTTGAACCACGTACTTCATACCTTTTTATGACGTATCTCACTGTAGAAAAATTCAACCCTAAGAAATCGGTAATTTGGCGATATGTTTTTTGCTGACTCCTCAGTAAAACAATTTTTTCGCGTGTTGCGGCACACAGTTCACTTGTCTTTGGCATGATAATTGTCTATTGACTAAAGGAAACTGATTGGTAATAAAAGATTAGAGATAAATTAGTAAACAAACCTATGACCTATGGACACAGGAGGATTAATGCCAAAGTAAACAGAGCTTGTGAGTCATAGTGTGCAAATACTTTTTTCCAAGCACTTTTATTGTTTTAATTTTTTTGTTTCATTATGGAGTGTTGTCATTTTTTTCCAAAAGGTTTTTCTCAGTTTTTAAAAAATGTACTTTTCATTTTTGCAGAGGAAAGCGAAGTTTTTTGGTTCCTTGAACTCATTTATTCATAAAAACATGATGTGCAAATACTTTTTTCCATCACTGTATCTCTGCAAACAAGTGTCATGGAAAACTTGTTTTACGGTGTCTTATTTACATTCGATGGTATCTAGTTTCTTACCCTTGGCTTTATCTCATTTCGTAAGTACATATTCTGACAAGTTTTCAATTTCTATTGTATGTGAATAGAACCATTTAGGTAATGAACTTTTAATTGTAGGGCACAATAATTTTTTTAACAAACCCGTAGAGGCTTAAGTGATGAAATACTTGCATCCAAAAGAAAGACTGTTATTAACACTAAACTAAGTGCAATGGAAACTGTTGTCAATTTCCGTTTTTTATTTATTCCAGCAACACCGGCATTCATTTCTATTATGGCCAAGATGACAATCACAAGACACAAGTGAACTTGGCCAATGGGAAACTACTTGAAGAAACAAACAGAAGTTTGTGAGGTAATATTTAAAACTACCATTACTATGCATAATTGTGACCTTTAAAATTTTACTGTTACTCACGATAATTGGTCGTGTTCAGAGGATCTTTAGTGAGTCTATTAATAAATATTAATGCACCCCAACAATCCGAATAGTTTTAATGTCTTTTTTGGTCAATAATTACAAAATTATTGAGGGCTATAAGTATTAATTCCTTGATTATATTATTATTCTATTATTTTTTAAATAATGAATTAAAGTTTCGTTAAGTAAATAGTATTTTTTTTTAAATCCTATTGATTTCGTGTTATGGGTATCATCTGCTGTATTTGGAGGATTAAGAACTTCTTTCTTTAGCCATTATAATAAATCGACCTGCCTGTACGTGCCTTATTAAAAAATAATTTTAGGAAGTTTACTTTTTTAAATTCACATCGTATGAGTTTCCTACCTCTCATAAAATATGTTGTTCCACTCTCTCAAATTTCACAAAATGGAGGTACCATCAAGGTGTTTGTTTTGGTCTTGTGTTTTTTAGTGTTAATCATGTTTATTTATTTTAGTTGTGCAATTTGAAACTCAGATTTCAATTTAATGAAAATGAACAATCCTCACACTTCGGAAGCCTTTAATATCAACGGTTAGTATTGTTTTTAATCTGGGACATGTAAAGTAACCTTCTGTTTAGATTTGTTAATATTCAATACTATCTTTTGTACCTTAAACCCTTTATTAATTGTTTCGAAAATGAAGTTAAGTATAATTTCATTATACATTAAAGGCCATATTTTATTAGTGGTTGCTATTTAAATCTTAATAATTAGAAGATGATTGTTTCTTGAAGAAAATTTGACAACTTAGATGTTTTT